TTTCCTTATCAGAAAGATCAAAGAGGGCTTTCCGAGCTGCCATACATTCGTAATCACCATTAGATTCATCCATCTCTTTCTGAATCTTCTTGCACTGTTACCCCAGCATTCTAAAATGTTCGTATTGGATCTTGGCGCGAATGGCATCATGATGCTGTTGTTTTTTTTGTTGTTTTTTTTTTTCAGACAGTGACTCTATTATGATGTGCCATCGGCAAAATCGAAAACAAACAACGCGCATGCGCAAAATTAAAATATAAAATGGTGACAATTTAACCATCGCACATTTTCTGTTTATCTATCTATCTATCTATCTCTCTCTCTCTCTATATATATATATATATATATATATATATATATATATATATATATATGTGTGTGTGTGTTTGGATTTAAATTCTGACAGTTATTATAATTCCTCTTTCTGTTGTGTTAGTATACTCAGTTCTGTGCCATCCTTGATACACGCTTAGGCGATCATGTATCTTTAGATACATGACTGACGAAGCAGATATATTTTTCCGCAGTAGGTTGCCATTTCTTTCTGCGGTAGAACAATACAACACGGTCTGTCCTGTTATTTACCCATAACTGGCGGGGGGAGAAGAAGAGGATTCGTACATTTCCCAAGGTTATTATTACGTAAATGAATGAATTCGAGTGGAATTCGAACTCAGCTCTTCGATTTCTCAATACGAGCCGCTATCCATTATTCCACCGTGCGTCTTCGATAGTATACTACTAATGCTTAACGTGGGCTTTGGATATTTTTCTCTCTTTATAAGCAACTCTTTTAGCGTATTATTGCTTGATCCTGACAGTTCACAGATCATAAACTTTCAAAACATAAAGGAATAACAACAGGGACACCTAGAGGTCGTGTAATGGTTAACAAGCTTGTCTCGCAAGAACAATTACCACTGAGTAGAAAGTTCATTCCTCACTGGGTGCCCCCTACTTTCGGCCTTGTGACACATCTAAGATATGCTTGGAAAATCACTACAGGAATAACAACAACAACAACAACAACAACAATAATAATAATAATAATAATAATAATAATAATAATAATAATAATAAAACACCAGCCAACAGAATAAACTGGAAACTATGCAGAAAACATGGCCTCGAGTGCACAGAGAAGAAGAGTTGAGAATCGGTAAGTAAATTTCATATGAGAAACGAACATCTTGACTGATAAGCGCTTGGAGACCAATCGCTAATTTGTTCACAAGAGCAGCCATGTTTGGATCTTGATAGAAGTTGTAGTGCCTTAAGATAAGCACATTGTGAAGGTTGAGCAGTCGAAAATAAAGTGGTACCAAAAATTGGCAGTGCAAATCCCAGGAATTTAGCAACACTGAAAAATGCTTTTGGATATGCTTGCTTACGACCTGATTTCCAAGTACTTATTCAAAAAAAATGTATAGACTATAAACTCTTTGTAGAAAACTATAGCGTCACACATTTCTTAAGAGCCATTTCGAAAAGCAAATGAATTAATATATTTACGAGAGGGAATTTAATTTGTGAAAAAAATCCTCTACATGAGAAGGAATGAAATCCTTTTGAAATGTTGGTTTCTGCGAAATGAGTTGAAATGATTAATAAATTATTAATTTACGAGAAGTAAATCTAATTATACGATTCCATTTGTAATATAATCGTTTATAACTTTTACATAATATTAGGATAATAAGATATCATACAAACACAGACACATATATATTTGCATATATGTAATTAGAACGTGTTTTCACACCATGAGGCCGGGGTTCGACTCTCACTTATAATTTTGTTAGATAATCTTTTGAGATTATCGAGCTGGGGAGAAAATCCCACCACGGGGAATCGTCGAGAAATAACACTCCCCACAAAAAATATCTGGATTGACCCAAGCGTTATGAGTGAAATTTTGTAGACAGAATTGTTCGGAAGCTGTCGATGGTCGTGTTAGCACGAACGTACAAGTCATCGTGACTGAGAGTTTGAATGTACAACATAAGATAAAAAATATAGTTTTACGGTAATTAATTTAATATTTTATGGGTAAAAGTGCTCAAGGGATAGAGCGTATTTTATTATAAAAGTGGACACCGAGTTCCATGATTGAACTCAATCTTCAGGCCTGTTGTCTGGTTTCTATTGAGATGGATAGTAGTGGCTCAGAGTGGAAGATCTGTACTCTTCAGGGGTTTGGGGTCAGGTTTCAAAGAGTTAAAAACTGAAAATTAATAACTAATATATTGTAGAACATCACTAAGAAAAATGCAAATATATCTATTACTAACTTAAAAGACGCCAGATAGGGCGTCATTTAAACAAGCTCCTGTGGAGGGTTCTTGATTAGACTTTCGGTTTGTTCAAGAGTTTGAGAAACCCTAAGTCTTCTCAGTATTGGAAGCTTTCCTGGCTGCCGTTTGATCTGGGTTTTCATTTGAACGGGGCTTTCTTTCCTTGCTGCAGGCTTGGCTCTTTTCATTGCATTCTCCTCCTCTGTTAGCGGAGATTTCTTTTTGCGAGACATCCTGAGGCCGTATGCGATAAGCAACAATAAACTACAGAAAAACTCATGACTGTTCGATGCATTTAAGTATTGCATTAATATTTAAGCTTATCTTTTAAAAATTCAACGATAATTTATCTGCCGTCACTTAAAACATGTTGATGCACATCAGTCCTAGCTTCCCCTACAAACAATTATTTTTTATTTCATGGGTGACTTTCACTGGATTTCGTAATTAATTTCAATTATTCCCAAATGTATTTTCAATTTCTAAAAAGTTTTATCCTACCAAAAAATTCGTCGCAAAAAAAAAAAAAAAAAAATACACGTAAAAAATCGCCGACAACAATTGCAGTAATGAAAACTTGTGAATCCAAAATTTCAGCATTGCGGGTCCGCTTGCGAACAGGAATGCTTTTAACATGCTCACAGAGTCGGCTTGATTTCAAAATGGTATGATATGTTGGCCTATGGCCGCTAGGAGTAAAGATGATAACGTGTGACAAAGTGATACACTGATATTCGCTTTTATTTATAGAGATATAAATAACGTGTACTTAAAAGCAATGCAAAAAAGAACAAATAGAAAAGAGTCCTACTGCAAAAAGAAATAAAATAAAATAAAAATAAATAAATAATTAAATAATAATAATAATATTAATAATAATAATAACAATAATAATAAAGTAAATAATGAAATAAATAATTAAGTAATTAAAGAACAAAAATAAATTAGTTAAATAATTAAGTAAATAAAAATAAACAAAGGACAAAGGAATAAAACGTACGAACGCTTGCATAACAACAAAGTAAATTTAATAATAATAATTATTAAAGTAATTAATAATAAATAAGTAATACAACAACAACGACCACAACAATCCTATACAACAGCTATAACATAATCACTTTCTTGCCCATAATTAGTTCTATTCAATAGCCGGTACAATAACAGAATCAATCGGAAGTAACTGATCTTGCTACACATAATGCCACCAAAACTAATATATATATATATATATATATATATATATATAGAGTGGACTACAGAATTTTTTTTTCAAGCAAGAAAAAGACGGTTGCCATTCGTTGTTGACATCAGTGTCTACATTTTTAATATTAACACACTCTGACCTGGATATTCAGCTTTTGTCGTATAAATAAATTAAAATATATTTACCTAAAATATATATATATATATATATATATATATATATATATATATATATATATATATATGGCCTGACGATTGCGTCTAGCATGTAACAGACTGTCGCCCTCTAAGTGTTGACTTCTATGTTCCTTTTATATTTATATAAATATAAATATATATATAAATATATATATAAATAAATAATATATATATATATATATATATATATATATATATATAAATGTATATAAATATATATATATATATATATATATATATATATATATATATGTGTGTGTGTGTGTGTGTGTGTATGGGATAATAGGGTATACAAATTTATATATATAAAAATAATGTTGGAAACCTCCGCGTGGTGTAATGGTTAACAACCTAGTCTCGCTAAAAAAACCGTTACGACTGAATAGTGAGTTCAATCCTCACTAGGTGGCCCATACTTTCGGACTTGTGCCCCATCTACGCTACTCTTGGAAAATCGCTATAAAAAACAATGTTAGGAGATTGAATGTTTGATTTAAATTCTGTTTAACATGTTTCGTATTCTAGAAGTACTTCATCAGACTAAGACTGCTATTATTGACGGAATTATATGTGTAGATGGATATATAATCGCGAGTGTTGGTATTAATGAAGTGCCACTTGGTAGTGCCTAAGATGTCGGCATGCTGCATTTAATACTTCTGAGTCTAAATTTTTTTTAGCTTTTAAATATTTTTTTTCGTCAGACGTTTTTGGATACACTCGTGTCGATCTAATTTAGTTTCTCTGCAATTTTGCATTCATCGTTGATGTAAATGTTCCATATTGTGACAATAGAATATCTGCCTATCCAGGTAAAATGTTCTAAGAAATGCAGGTGATAAATATCAGGCTGTGAAAGCGTTGAACGCACGAGAGTCACCGTGTTCCTACAGAGCTCACGGTCTTGGTAAAGCATCAGAACACTCTCCAGAGCCAGATAAATCTGCTGGAGGTCATGGCGGATAACGTTCTCCCAACGGCTGCGTTGTCACCCCCAGTTCGCAGAAGCGGAAGATTACTGGTTGCAGGAAGTGACCGAACGAACACGGCGTTGAGATATGGTGCGGAGGACATTCGGTTAGCCGGTCTTCCGGTGGTGGTTTTCATTGAACACAACATCGGATCAGTGAACCACCTTGATGGTCCTAATGGCACGAGACTCAAATCTACGGACGGGTTGAGGCTCTTGCCGGGAGTCCACGTTTTAGCACCGTATAATAGCACAGAAAGGACGGTGGCATTATAGACACATACTTTGGTGTGTCAGTTGATGTCGCGACGCCGCTGTGGTGGTCTTCAAAGGTTTCTTATGTCACCTGCAGCCTGCCCGCGTCTTCTTGTCGCCGGTGTTGGAAAATGCTGACTCTATGTATACAAAAATAGAGGCCAACCCGACGTTGGAGCTGCCAGTGATGTTGGGTAGCTAGATAGAGGCCGTCTCTCACGTGATTTGTATTCGATTAGTTGACGCGGGACCTAAGCCTGTTGCTCCTCGTTTTACACACGAAGTGTTCCCGTCAGCTCGACCAGCGTGCAGCCAAACCTAGTTATAACAATCTGGTCAAAAGTTTAGTGTGGATGATCTAGCAATTAAAGCATTTTCTATAAACTTTCTTCTTATTAAATTGTTTTCCCTTTTAATTAAAATAGCTTCTTTTTTTTTCATTTGGAATAATTGTCAGACTCATTAAGGGGAAGTAACTATCATCACTTTGAATATACGCTCTTTAGCACTAGAGGACGTCATCAGTGATGTTCTGAATTGGGTCATTGGGCAGTTTCGGGTGTTTCAAACATCATACACCTCTCACCAAATCGACCCCATCAGAGTTGATCAGTCTCTGATGCGCTCCCCACCCCATCTAAAGTAACAGCCTGCATATCCTGACTTATATTAGGCAGACCATACCTCTCTGTCACGCATTTGATTGGGAGTTGACCAACAGCCAATCGCAATTGTGTGAGCTCTATTGAGTATGTTGTTTTATAAAATATATCTTTTGTCTTCATATAAATATTTAAATTCCACAAGGAATTCAAATTTGATCATCTCGCTACAATCCTTTCTTCTCGTGGGTCGAGCGATTATATAACTTCCTGTCATACGGTGGCCTTATGTGTATGGATTTAATCCTCAGTTATGTCGGCGCAGCCACCGATCATCCTATTCAGTTGCGATTCTGCACTTGCTGGCGATGAGATCAACCGTCTAATTGACAACCTGAATCTTTTGAATGTTCTGATGTGACACCGAATACAGATGTTCTTATGTGACACCGAGTACAGATGTTCTGATGTGACACCGAATACAGATGCTCTGATGTGACATTGAGCTATAGATGCTCTGATGTGACACTGAGCTACAGATGTTCTTATGTGACACCGGATACATTTGTTCTGATTTGACACCAAATAGAGATGTACTGATGTGACACTGAGCTACAGATGTTATTATGTGACACCGAATACAGATGTTCTGCTGTGACAACAAAAACAGATGTAATGATGTGACACTGAGCTACAGATGTTCTGATGTGACACCGAGTGCAGATGCTCTGGTGTGACACTGAGCTACAGATGTTCTGATGTGACACCGAGTGCAGATGTTCTGATATGACACTGAGTACAGATGTTCTGATGGGACACCGAATTCAGATGTTATGATGTGACACGGAGTACAGATTTTCTGATGTGACACCGAATACAGATGTTCTGATGTGACACCGAGTACAGATGCTGTGATGTGACACTGAGCTACAGATGTTATGATGTGACACTGAGTACAGATGTTCTGATGTGACACCGAGTACAGATGTTCTGATATGGCACTGAGTACAGATGTTCTGATGTGACACTGAGTATAGAGCTTACTAGCCTATCTTTTAGTGTGAGCCCAGAACATTACGGGGATCATTAGAAATCAATTCTTTTTCCATCAAAATATCCTTAGTTCGCGTGAAATTCTAATATTTCCTGGCATAAAACCCATGTTTTTTTTTTTGTTTTTAGCATTTCACCCTAAGCGAAACTGCCACTAGCACACAAGGGGTTACAGAAAATGAAAGTAAGGGCAAAAAGTGGTGTTTGAGCAAAGGATAATGAGAAGAACAAGACATCAGAAGATGTCGATTGACATTACATTTGAATATTTGAAAATTATAGCTACAAGGGAAGCAAATGAGAGGAAGGGATTTCCAATGTCGAGAAGTGCGAGAGAAGTAGTTGTTGGAGTAGAAGAGGCAATTACCTTTAACTGTTTCGACAGTGAAAGGGTGGGACCGAAATGCCAACCTGGTAGTAGGCATGCGTTCATGCAGTTGGTGCACCAGTGATAGTAACTCGTCAGAGCAGTTGCCATGAAGTTATTTGTAGAAAAGCCAGAGGGAAGCCACATCATGTATGTGAGAAAAGGACTGGAGGCGAGATGCCAGTACAAGACCTATCACATTGCATATCCGCCTTGAATTTTGTTGAGAACCTCGACATGAACAGCATACTATATATGGCAATAGTACTCAAAGCAAGGACGAATGGTCGATTTATAGATTTGAAGGATGTACTCAGACGAGAACAACCTTCTGGCGCAACACAGAGAACCAACTTCCTTGCCGTAGATGAAGCTATAGATTCAGTGTAGTTGTTCCACCTCAGGTCAGTTGAAAACGTGAGACCAAGAAGGTACAGAGAGACGCTCTCGTGGAATTGAGCATCAGCCATTCAGATGGGAGGCAGCGAGTTTATGGCGGGTAAATGACAGTAGTTTCGTTTCGGAGGTTTTGAAGTTTACAAGCCATTTCCTGCCCCAGTCAACCACAGATTAAACAAGAAGACCGTCCTGAAGAGTTGCAGGAGATTCCGAAGTGGTCTGGAGGCCTGATTGAAAGGCGATTCTGTTGAATAAATTTACTCTTTAGTATTTCAAGATAATTTTATGTAATTTTGGTTACTATATCTTTTAAAAAGAAATGTTAGTTTTATTTTTATTTTTGCTTACTTTAGAAGACAATTTATCCATCTATCTATCTATCTATCTATCTATCTATCTATCTTTGTGTATTTCCTGCCCCAGTTAAACACAGATTAGAGTTCCTTTTCGAAACGAACGGTCAGGTTGACTTTGTCAGCAGCGCCGGATTAACTACTGAGAGAGGCGTAAATGGCGCTAAGAAAGGAATGCTACTGACAAAAATGCTTATCAGAGTTTAACGACGGCATTATTTTTATAATTCCTATATCCAAAATATTCTTTGATCAATAATTATATGCCGATTCCTGAATGCACTTTATAGAAACGACATGTGTCTTCGCGGTTGCTTAAGAAGAATCAAATTTCTGAAATTGCGACGACATGCTGTCTCCTTTTAAAATATAGAATTTGCTTTTAAATTAAAAAAAGATGCTCTCATCTGTTTTGTCGTTCAAGAATTCATTAAAAATTAGCGCACGAATATTTGAGAGTGGAGATACTTTTTCAGTCTTTAAGGAAAATCGGGAGAAAAGCAAAATACCTACCTACATACATATATACACACACATACACATATACACACACATACACACACACATATGTATATGTATATATATATATATATATATATATATGTGTGTGTGTGTATGTGTGTGTATATAATATATATAATATATATATATATTAATATATACACCATATATATGTAGTATATATGTAATATATAATATATATATTTATACAATATATATACACGTTACATTATATATAATATATATCTAATATTATGCATATATTATATATAATATATATAAAATATATATGAAATATATATGTGTATGTATGCGTGTGTGCGTGTATACACTCAATATACATAAATATCTCGATAAAATATAATGCATATAAATCTATACATCATAGATATACATTATATATTATATACAATAATATGTAATATATTAATAAATTTATATGACTTATATATGAAAAAAATAGATAGATAGATAGATAGATAGATAGATAGATAGATAGATAGATAGATTCAGAGACAGACAGAGAGCGAGAAAGGGAGAAGAAAGAGAGCAAGAAAGAGGGAGAGAGAAGGAGAGGGTGTGAAGAGAGACCAAGGAGAAACAGAAGAAGAAGAAAGCCAAGTGAGAGTTTTATTGAAGGAGGAAGAGAACCCGCAAGAGAAACGCATAGGAAGTAAAATAAAATTTAGGAAGGTCGATAGAAAAAACTGAACAGAGATCAATACAAAGAGGAGGAAAATAAATAGAGGGCGAACGGTTGTGAGAAAGAAGGAAAAGGAGACAGAAAGAACGTAAACATGAAGAGAAAGTGAACGAAAGAAAGAAAGAAAGAAAAGAAAGTAAGAAAGAATGAAAGAAAGAAAGAAAGAAGGAAAGGAAGGAAGGAGGAAAGAAAGAAAGAAAGGAAAGAAAGAAAGAAAGAAAGAAAGGAAGGAAGAAAGGATGAAAGAAAGAAAGAAAGAAAGAAAGAAAGAAAGAAGAAAGAAAGGAAAGACAGATAAGTAAGTAAAGAAAGAAAGAAAGAAAGAAAAGGAGACAGAATGAACGAAAACATAAAGAGAAAGTGAAAGAAAGAAAGAAAGAAAGAAAGAAAGAAAGAAAGAAAGAAAGAAAGAAAGAAAGAAAGAAAGGATGAAAGAAAGAAAGAATGAAAGAAAGAAAGAAAGAAAGAGAGAGAGAAGGAAAGGAAGGAAGGAGGAAAGAAAGGAAGGAAGAAAGGATGAAAGAAAGAAAAAAGAAAGAAAGAAAGAAAGAAAGAAAGAAAGAAAGAAAGAAAGGAAAGACAGATAAGTAAGTAAAGAAAGAAAGAAAGAAAGAAAGAAAGAAAGAAAGAAAGAAAAGACAGATAAGGAAGGAAAAGGAAGGAAGGAAGGAAGGAAGGAAGGTGAAAAAAGAAAGAAAGAAAGAAAGAAAGAAAGGAAGGAAGGAAAAGAAAGAAAGAAAGAAAGAAAGAAAAGATCAAAGAAATAAAGAAAGAAAGAAAGAAAGAAAAGAAAGAAAAAGAAAAAGACAGATAAATAAGTAAAGAAAGAAAGGAAAGACAGATAAGTAAGTAAAGAAAGAAAGAAAGAAAGAAAGAAAGAAAGGAAGGAAGAAAGAAAGAAAGAAAGAAAGAAAGAAAGGAAGGAAGGAAGGAAGGAAGGAAGGAAATATAGGAAAGAAAAAAGCATGGAAAAGTAAAGCGAGAAAATATACTAAACAAATCCACACAGAGAAAATAAGCAGAGGCTGACTGAATAGGAAGCAAGCAAAAGGAAAATGAGAGAAAGAATCTATTTCCCTATCTATATTTCTGAGATGAGTTATTATGTCCACTATTTACATTATTCGGAATATTGTCCTCATCTTTATCGCCATATTTATCACAACGTTTTGGCCGTTGTACTCTCCGGCCTTCTTCAAGGGGTTTGAATGTCGAACTGAAACCATTTATTTCCCTCTCTGGGATAGACTGTGCTAGTTCCACGTGCCATGTCTAATGGATGGCAGTTATCAGTTATCTTCTGTTAATTCCCCTCTCCAAGTTCTCCACCACCATAAGCAGGTATTGAACTCACACTTTTTGGGTCCTGTCACTTGATCTAATGCATTTATCCACTGTGCCATGTGTCATTGAGGACACATGGAACAGTGTATCTATCTATCTATCTATCTATCTATCTATCTATCTATCTATCTATCTATCTGCTCATATCTATATAAGCTTTTTTTTCATATTTATCTAATGGACAAATTTTCGTTATTTTATATTTTTTTAATTTTGCGCATGCGCGTTATTTTTTTTATTTTGTTGGCTGCACAGTATATTAGGGTCAGTTGGGCACCTTCTGTGAGAAAAAGAGCACCATGACGAAATTCACTCATCCAGAAATTTGGAAAAGGCATGCTGTACTGCTTGGCATACGCACCAGAAGCTCCAATACGAACATTTCAGTGTGTTTGGGTGCAGAGGATCTCAAAAAAGTTGGATGAATCTCATGGTGATTATGAAGGTACGACAGCTCAGAAAAGACAGTCTGATCATTCTGATAAGAAAAGAAGTCCTGAATTTGTTGATAAGGGCCTCAGACTCCAAACGGGAGCCTACATCAAGTATTTTGAGGAGGTAGTGCTGCCCTGTGTCAAGAGGGTGACTGCTGGAAAGCTTTATGTCTAGCTACAGGGCTCTGCACCATGACACACAAACAGGAGAAGCCAATCAATGTTGTCAGAAAATTTCTGCGACAGCGTCACTCCTAGCAAACTAAATCCCCAGACACCAACCCCACTTAATTATTATGTGTGGGGCACCGTTGAACGAGAGACAAGCAAAACTTCTTGTAACATCCAAGACGAACTGGGAGCAAAGATTATGGAAGCATTCATCAACTTAAACAAGGAGACCGTCCAGAAGAGTTGCAGGAGATTCCGAAGTGGTATGGAGGCCTGATTGAAAGGCGATTCTGTTGAATAAATTTACTCTTTAGTATTTCAAAATAATTTTATGTAATTTTGGTAACTCTATCTTTTACAAAGAAATATTAGTTTTAGTTTTATTTTTGCTTAATTTAGACGAGAATTTATCCATCTTACCTTCTATCCTTCTATCTATCTATCTATCTATCTATCTATCTATCTATCTATCTATCTTTGTGTATGTTTATTTGTGAGTGCGTATGTGTGAAGAGAGAAATTAAATCATAGGCAGAAAACGTTGAACAAAAAAAGAGGTCAAATCTCAGAAAATTAGCAAAAAGGTGTGTAAGAGAGAAAAAGACATAGTGGGAGAGTGTGGAGAATGAAGAAACGTAAAGAGGAGGGGGGAAATGAGATGCGAAATAAAATGATAGTGCAGACATTATCGGAAAAAAAAACGATGTAAGACGAAGAAATAAAGAAAAGAAAAAAGAAGAAAATGGCAAAAAGAAAAGAAGAAGAAAAAGAAAACGAAAAGAAAAAGAAGAAAACAAAAAGAATAGAGACAGAGAGAAGATAACGAAGATATAAATAAAGGACATAATCTAAAGAGATGGTGGGGATGTATGTCGCAAAGCGACATTCTCTTGCTTAAAAATGCATATCTATTATTACCAATAAGTACTTAAGATTTCAGATAAATGGTGCCACCGTTGACAAAAGACCTAATTGTGGTTAATAAAATTAAAAAAAAAATATCTAAACGTCACCACAATTTGATAATAACGAAGAATGAATAAAAAATAAGCACACATTTCGTTTCAGTCAATAAAACGGAGCAGTAAATATTGAATTTGAACAATTTTGTAGCGTATTTAGTTTCAAGATTAAACACTATTTATTTACCGCCATAATTAAATTCAATTTTAGCAGTAAATTTATCGTAGTGCTAATTTGATATTATAGTTGCAATGGCTAATAAGAACTTAAGACTAACTCTCTCTCTCTCTCTCTCTCTCTCTCTCTCTCTCTCTCTCTCTCTCTCTCATTTGCAAAATTATTGTTTATTCACATCCGGTCTTTGTCAATTAGTATCGGTGATTGGGTGTCTACGGCTTTTCGGGTTTTCACCGAACATGTTTGCATCTCGCAAGAATGTGAGAGAATCTCTACACCTTTTTATCTGTTCCTGTAATCAGTTGCCCTACAGATGCATATCTTCAGCATAGATGTGTTGGCCACCAATTTACATGCTGCTCGGAAAATTCGGTAATTTTGACAAGGTAAGAAAAATTCAGTAACTATGAAACAAAAGTGGATTGAAAATTGATTTTGGGGCCGTTCTAAAGTGGAGATATGAGGGCTAAGCCCTTCTTCACTATATTCGTGAAATAGAAATCAGGCTATATAGTTTTTGCTTCTCTAAAAAGAAATATCTAAAACTTAATTTGTTTACTCCATTTTTTTATTAAAATAATAATTTGAAAAGAAGATACAAAAACTTAACTATAACTTTGATAAAGCTATTTTATTTGCTTGAAAGCAATAGCGTATAATAATTAAATAAATCCTTTTTTTTTTTAAAAAATATTTATTTAAAAATATTGGCAGGAGAATTATCATTCTAAATCCCCCATCCAGAAATAACGAACCTGGTATTGATGCAGTAGGGTTTTATCTGGACTGCAACCCATAATATTTTAGTCAATACTTATTTAAACGTATGCGGAGAGGGATAACCCCTCCAGAAAATACGGCTCTGGTATTGTTGTAGTAGGGTTTCATCTAGACCCCCATAATCAATAATACTTTTAAAAAAAATATTGGGGAAGAAGGTCTAGCCGCCTATTCCCCACTTCTGCAAGTACGGCCCTAATATTGTGGCATTGGGTTTTTATCTGGACCTCGGGATTTTCAGTTATTTAGAATTATAAAAGAGGTCGGGCTTAGCCCCCAAATTTCCCCTCCAGAACAACTCTAAATTCAATTTTCAATCAACTTTTATTTGACAGTTGCCGAATTTTCCTATCTCGTCAGAATTACCGAACATTCTGTTACCGAATTTTCCGTTATCTTATGTGCCGTTAACAAATTTTTCGTTACCTTATCTGCCGTTACCGAACTTTCCGTTACATAATTTTCCGTTACCTTATCTACCGTTACTGAATTTCCCGTTTCCTTATCCGCGGTTACCTAATTTTCCATTTCCTTATCAGCGGTTACCTAATTTTCCGTTACCGAATTTTCCGTTTCCTTATCCGCGGTTACCTAATTTTCCGTTACCGAATTTTCCATTTCCTTATCAGCGGTTACCTAATTTTCCGTTACCGAATTTTCCATTTCCTTATCCGCGGTTACCTAATTTTCCGTTACCGAATTTTCCGTTTCCTTATCTGCGGTTACCTAATTTTCCGTTACTGAATTTTCCGTTTCCTTATACGCGGTTACCTAATTTTCCGTTACCGAATTTCCCGTTTTTATCAGCGGTTACCTAATTTTCCGTTACCGAATTTTCCGTTTCCTTATCTGCCGTTACCGAATTTTTCGTTACCTTATCTGACGTTACCGATTTTTCGTTTTCTGATCTGCCGTTACCGAATTTTCGTTACGAAATATTGCGTTTCCTTATATGCCCTTACTGAATTTTCCGTAACCAAATTTTCTGTTACTTTATCTGCCGTTACCGAATTTTCTGTTACCGAATTTTCCATTTCCTTATCTGCCGTTACCGAATTTTCCGTTACCTTATCTTCCGTTACATAATTTTCCGTTACCTTATTTGCTGTTACCGAATTTTCCGTTACCTTACCTGCCGTTACCGAATTTTACGTTTACGAATTTTCCGTTACCGAATTTTCTGTTAGATAATTTTCCGTTACCTTATCTGCCGTTACCGAATTTTTTCGCTACCTTATCTGCCGTTACCGAATTTTCCGTTACATTATCTGCCGTTACCGAATTTTCCGTTTCCTTATCTGCCATTACCGAATTTTCCGTTACCAAATTTTCCGTTTCCTTATCTGCCCTTACCGAATTTTCCGTTACCAAATTTTCCGTTTCCTTATCTGCCCTTACAGAATTTTCCGTTGCCAAATTTTCCGTTCTCTTATCTGCCGTTACCGAATTGTACGTTACCAAATTTTTTCCGTAGCCGAAATTTCCATTTCCTTATATTCCGTTACCGAATTCTTCGTTTCCTTATCTACCGTTACCGAATTTTCCGTTACCGAATTTTCCATTTACCTATATGCCGTTACCGAATTTTTCGTTACCGAATTTTCCGTTTCCTCATCTGCCGTTACCGAATTTTCCGTTAGAGAATTTTGCGTTTCCTTATCTGCCGTTACGGAATTTTCCGTTACCGAATTTTCTCTTACCCTATATTCCGTTACCGAATCTGCATTACCGAATTTTCCGTTACCTTATCCACCCGTTACCGAATTTTCCTTTACTAAATTTCCCGCTACCTTATCTGCCGTTACCGAATCTTCTGTTACCTTATCTGCCGTTACAGTATTTTCCGTTACCGAATTTCCTGTAACCTTATCTGCGGTTACCTAATTTTTCGTTATCGAATTTTCCTAAATTCGTAGACAGCTACAGGCATCATGTGAGTCACAAATCTGCACGTGGTGGGCATGGAGCCAGCTTCCAAGTTAGCACTCTGATGCAGCTGACCTCTCTGGTGCTCTACTGTAGTTTTGAATGCTATTCCTTAGAATGAGCCCACTACATAATGGTGTCATTATAGATCTTCTCTTAGATCAAAGGCTCTTTTCTGGCATTGAATTCGATTCAGAACATCTGATAATTTACTAGTCTGAATCACAGACGCCATTAATCCTCATGGGGTTGGGGAAAAGAATTGGAAACAGTTTTTTTTTTTTTTGTAGGTCGGCCAGCAAGAATGGGTAGGTCAAAATTGTGGTTGTGAAATATTTCGAACAGAAAGAACTACTGTTTATCAATTTTGACACTCATTTATAAGAGTAAAAGTTGATCCAAGATAATGGATGCCACAGCAAAATCTTATTATTTGAAAAGTATATACTTTCATGACGTGATTTAATTGACTATGGTTTGGGTTTGCTAGGATTCTCATAAAATAAAATAGAAACTATTTTAAATTCTGTCGCTTACTCTCGACATTACATAGAAATGTCGCCTCGAATACTGTTTACCTGACACACTTAGGGAAAATGCAATAGGGAATTAAAAAAGCACTTAAAAAGTATTTTTTCCAACGAAACCACATCTACAATGGTGGGTTGAAAAATAACGCTGACTATGAAGGAGTGAGGCGAGAGCTGTGAAATCTTGAATGCATTAATTTGAATTCTGCGTCTTAATAACAACATTGTTTCTTTTCAGGTGAAGTTATATCTGACTGTTCAGAGAAGACCAAAAATGAAACTAGTAACAACTTCTCTTGAAAATAGACAGAATTTGGCATCGTGGTTTTATCAAATGCATGCATAAAGGTTTTTACTCCTTAAGGATATTCATGCTGACATGATTGCTACATTAGGCGATGACTCTTCGGTTTTATCGACAGTGCAAAAGTGAGGAGCTGAATTTAGAAGTGGAAGGCGGAATCTTGACGATAATCGTGTTTACCACGTAGTGATTATAACAATCAATTGAATATAAACCAGACAACCTATTCGCATTCCGTTATTATTTACTTTTTTTGAGTATTTTCCCAATGAAACATGAGCTGTGCACATGTTAGTACTTTATATGCTCATTCCATGAAGTCGTTACTTGCAGATTGACCACAGATTTTCGATTGGCTTTAAATCAGGATATTTTCCGGGTCAGTCTATAGTACTTTGATTTGCTCGCTAGTAAGGCTTGCCAATGTTAGTACAGCGTTACAATTTTCGTATGCTTACTTAGAGTAATGTCTATCGCAGACAATAGCCGTTGGACAACTAATCGACTGTCGAGACGATATTGTACGGGCGTGATCAAAATAAGATGCAGTCATGAATGGTGCAATATTTTTCAAGCCCAAACAAATTTCATCGTACACTCTGAAAATAGATTCATATTACCGCACACCACTGCAAATGACCTAATCTGAGGAAAAATAGAAATTGATTACAACCTGTCGCTCTAGTGTCCGCTTGGTAAAAGAACGGAAATTAAAGCAGTTGTTTCAATTAATTTGCACAAAGGTGTACTGCCCAATCAACTTGGCATGACGAAGTTTTCTGCTCGGTGGGTACCACGTTTTCTGACACCTGTTCAAAACCTCAGATATTGTTTGATCCAGAACCAGATAGTTTTCCTGAACATCTCTTAACCCAGGATGAGTGTTGATTTCATCATAGTGAGCCAGAGAAAAAAAGAGACAATGTATGACTTGGAAGCACCCCTCATCACTTGCTTCAATGAAGGTCATGGTGATTTCATCTGCAGTTTTTGTGGATGCAAAAGACATTGTGTTTATTGTCTATATTCAAAAGTTCGACACAATCAATGGAGAATACTATGCCAACTTGCTGAGACATTTAAAAAGGCTATCAAACCTAAACATCCAGAAAAAACTAAGGAAAGGGTACTTTTTTTCATCAGGACACTGCTCCAGCGCACATGTACTTGGTTTTGCATGTTGGGCGTGGCAGTGCTTTGTACAAGTTGATCACTTTACATATACTCCTGATTTGGCCCCATCTGATTATCATCTGTTCCCCAACATGAAAATCATGCAGTGAGGATGACGTCGTATTTGCTCACTATTTACATTATTCGGACTATTGTCCACATCTTTGTTGCCTTATTTATCACAACATTTAGGCCGTTGTATGCTCCGGACTTCTTCAGTTGGCTGGAATGTCGAACTAAACCCTTTATTTCGCTAACTGGGGTAGACTGTTCTAGTTCCACGTGCCATGTCTAATGGATGTCAGTTATCAGTTATCTCCTGTTAATTCACCTCTCCAAGTTCTTCACCGGCTTAACTAGGTATTGAACTCGCAGCTCTTTGGGTCCTCTCACTGGATCTAACCAACGTCTTTATCCACTCTGTCATGTGTCCTTAAGGACACATGTCACAGGTTGTATTTGCTGTTAATGATTTTTGACCAACAGGATAGAGAATCTTTTTTGTGCAATCAGATGTCAATGCAGTTATTAATAAGAAGAGTTGAAATTAATGCATGCAATATTTCACAGCTGTAGCATTACGCCTTCATAGCCAGCCTATGAAAGCTCAGCTCAGCTCAGCTCAGCTCAGCCGCGTATGTAGACTGAATTAGTTTTTGCGCCACTAACATATCACTGGTTCAAATTCTTTACTGGATTTAAACCTTAGAACAAAAGTGATGGAACTATTGGTAGAGACCTGTGCTAATGAAGTGAGTTGTTCTCCTACCGGCTGCCCTAATACTGAATTATGTGCTTGACTGTCCTAAGTTTTACGTTAAACCCAGGATAGGCCAGTGGTCAGTAAAATATCTCTGGAACAACTAAACTCAGTAAAATTTTTTGTAAGGTGAGCTGGTTACAATAGAGTTGTGGCTTATTCTTGGACGAAGAGTTATATGAAAAAGGTATTTTAAGCAGTTGAAGAAGTTGCATCTTTTTTTAAAACTCTGAAGTCTGCAATTAGGTATGGTTTAAATTTCCAGGTGCTTGAAAGATATCAACACATGCGTTAGCCTCCCACGTGATCTCTACACATTTGTGCGCAAATTACATCAGTATGCTTGCATCATTCTATCTATCTATCTATCTATCTATCTATCTATCTATCTATCTATCTTCGTCTGTTGTTTATCTATGTATCTATCTATCTATCTATTATCGTCATGTGATTATCTATCTATCTATCGTCATGTGATTATCTATCTATCTATCTATCTATCCCCGTCTGTTGATTATCTATCTATCTATCTATCTATCTATCTATCTATCTATCTATCTATCTATCGTCATGTGATTATCTATCTATCTATCTATCTATCTATCGATCTATCTATCTATCTATCTATGGCTTTTTCCCTTTCTATGTCTTTGAAACCGTGTTGGCTTTATATTCTTAGTGTATGCAACCTATACTCATTTGCTTCCAATAGCAGAAGTTAATGCCTGGCACCGCATAAAATGTAGGTTTTCAATGCCAAATGTTAGTGCTGCCCCATTCTTGGACAATCTATGCACTCAGATTCAGAATAAGTTACGATCGATCCATTAAGAAGACATTTCCTTATTTTCATTTCATTTGGGAATTTCTTTCTTTAGGTTTTGCTTCTTCTCTTTTTAAATTCCTTTCCTCTTTCCTTCTCTTTCTTTTCTAATTTACCTTCAGGTTTTTCTTTTTATCTTTCTCTCTTTTTTATTTCTCAATAACTTTGTTTCGTTCTTTCTTTTCTTCTTCCTTTCGTTTCGATTTTATATTCATATTTTTTTATTTTTTTCATTCTCTCTTTTTTTTTCCTTTCTAAATATCTTTTGTTCTTTTTTCTTTTCATCTCCCTCTCTTTTCGGATTTGCTTTCAGTTTTTCATTCTTTCTTTCTCTTTTTTTATTCCTTATTAAATTTCTTTCGTTCTTTATTTTGTTTCCTTTCTTTTCGAATTTACATCATTTTTTTTCCTTTATTATCTTTCACGGTACACTTCTTTTTTTTTCTTTTTAAATTTAGTTTCGTTTTTTAATTATTTTATTCTTAATATCCTACAGTCTTTTGTCCTTTCTTTCGTCCTTTTTTCTTTCTTTCCGTATTTAGATTAGGTTTTTTTCTTTCTCTTTTTAATTCAGACAATCCTTCCTGCCTTCCTTTTGATTTACATCTTTTCTTTCGTTCGCTATCCTTTGCTTACTTTCTTTTAGAATCTCAATTTTATCTTATTTTTTTCATTGCTTTCTTCTTTATGCTTTCATCTTCTATCATTCTTTCTTTAACCAATTCATCTCCTTCTACATTTTCAATGACCCACATTATATGA